CCTTGAATTAATGGACCAATCAATCCAGTTCCCAGCGACTTCGTTAAATCGAGGTTCAACTGTAGTGTAATATATTATTGCCAACAGCTTACATCAAAGAACAAATTCTCCTAACATTTTATATGTTACCATTTGGGAGATTGAGGCTATTTAACTACCAAACTCCTTTTTGAATTTCTGAATTCCCATGTTCTCTCTTTTATTTTGATTAGTATGATTACAGTATTGACAATGACCATTTTTTCATGGCTAGTCTGACTTGACTGGGACAAAATGAAAGTACTGTACCAGACTAGCCACAAACAATAGAATTATCATGAATAATTACATCACTGAACTGAACTTTTCTTGTAATGCTATGTAATGAACATCCAATAGCTAGGCTTGATAGGCTCTGTGATGAACATCTAATGACTGGGCTTGATCAATCTGTATGGGAGAATATTGACCATGGTTGTGGGTACAGACTTTCAGCATTTGCACTGTACTCAGACCCTTGGTAAAGATTCTTCCAAGCAGACTTCTTTCTTAATGAACAGAGCAAGAGCTAGTAACATCAAAATCAGTTACATCACAATCAGTTTCGACTCTAGTGTAAACCAGCAAACACAAAAATTCTTACATGTAAGTGACTTCAACAATGTCTAACATATATCATCACAAAAAGTTCTAATTTAAAAGTGTGTAAACCCAAATGTAGTTAATTAGGGAGGATACTAACTTCCAGTATGTGCCCACAACAATCATAATTTGTTGTTTGGTTGAGTTTCAGATTATTTATTTTGGTATAAAAATGTGAAAAACAGTTTTTCCTAACATGGGCACCAAAGAGAATCTGTGAATCAAATTCCAGTCTGTTAACAAGTAAGGGCTGCACACAACCCTCCCCCATCCTACCCACTCTCAGAAGAATGGAAAATTATCATAAAGCAGAATACTGGTTTCAGCTAGTGTCATTGGTGTAAAGGAAAACCAGCACTGTTCCAGACTCCATAATAAAATTCTACTAAGCATTGATTTAAATTAACTTTATACACTGAGGAAAATTCCTTCTCCTCATTGATAATAACTGCTGCCCTTCCATTTTTTCTCCCAGTTAATTTCCTTCTGAAACGCGATTGAACTTCTGCCTCACTCAATCCACTCAACATCGAAAACAGTGAAGTTACGGCACTTTCTGAAGTAAATGCAATGACGTGACATTTCCAGTTTTCCTCGCTCATTACGTTGCCTGCTATTTCACCATTCCGTGTTTGATCAACCGCCCTCTTTAGCGACAGGAACACCTCCAGAGGAATGTTCCGTAAAATTTCTGAATGATAAGGGTTCCTTATGCTAACCTTCATAGCAAGTCTGGTGTAAATTCTAGTGAGCCACAACCTGGATTTGTCCTTGAAATTATATTGACCCGCAGCTTATGCCAACGTTCAGCATTACGAAAT